GGCACTTAACAAATGAGGTTAAAAGAAATTCTTTCTGTTTTTGTTTCTTTTAATTTTATTTTGGTAAATTATTTTCATGAAACAAAAAAACATTTGATTTTTTTTCATTCTCGAAAAAGTCATAAGATAAATGTGAATCTTTAAAAAATAAGATTTGAAGTTGCCACTAAACATATTTACATATTTGAAGGAAATGCTTTCATTACTTTTTTAAATTTTCATTTTTAGTTTTTAAATAATTTTTCAAAATTATTTTCATGAAACAAAAATATTTGAATTTTGTTTCATTCAGAAGATCATAATAAAAATGAATATAAAAGAGTCTTTAAAAGATTACATTTAAACTACACTATGCACTGTCTGGTCCTGAAACATCTGTCACTTACCATCCAGTATCCAAGGAGAAAGGTGGTATTTTTCTAATTACTTGGATTTTTTACTTGCACACTGGATTTGAAGTACTGTAGTTTCTTATTTCAGTTAAAGATGAATTGTTCTATTTGTACTGAGCTAACAGTTGAAACATGTCATGGTTTATTCAGTGATAAACAGGTTGGATTGATTTCAGTTGATCAGTTGGATGCAATGGATGTAAAGGTTATTGCCTATAGAACAGGACTTGAGGATAAAATACAGACTATCTGTTACCATCACAAGCAGACCTTGTTGACTAATAAAAATTAGAATGGTAAAGTCTAGCATAAAATAATCTGGCACACTTTCCTAACTCATGAAGGAGAATATTTGTGCCAAATTAATTCGGTGTCGGTGTGTGCATATTTCAACTTTTTGCTGGTGTTTTGACGTGAAATGACCCTTATATTGAATTATTAAACTTGGTGAAGTTAAAAAATTTTGTTTTAAATTCAGTTTAAAATATCTCCAAAATTTTGAATTGAGGAACTCTATTTCTGGCCTGACTTGAAATTTTGGCCCAAATTGGAATTAGACTTATAGCCCAAGTCAAAGTGACATTTTGAAGTTCCATGGAATAAATTGAGCAATTCAAAGTTATTTCTTCAAAATTATCATTACTGTTTTCTAAGCTGGACCAGAGGTTCTTTTAGTTTTAGGCTGGAGGCCCAATTCGCACTTTGCAGGAGCTAGCTTAAAAGCTACACTCTGTGCAGATTTTTAAGCTAGTTATAAATAGTATATAACAGGTTATATAATATCAAACATCTTTCTGATAACTTTAGTTGGGTGTTTTTGTAATTACATCATCATAGATAAATCAAATTTTTATTGTTCTCAAACTAAAGTGAACTTTTGCAAAAACATTTTTGTTAGGTTGGTGGATTTTGACATATCAAATATTTTTGAACTATTCAAATGGTGAACTATATTACTTGAGTCTTTAGGTAAACATTGGTCTTGTAGAGTATATTTTACAAGCATCTACTCAATAAGTGGCCTCTTTTGTGGGGAGCCTTACTCATCTCCAGGTGATAGCATATTCTAGGCCCTGTTGACAGGGCATATATTAGTTTATCATATTACTCTTGTTACTATATACTTTGGACAGTTGGAAAATGCCAACTATGATACAATGTCACATTCATGAAATACTAATAATAGCTGATATGGCCAGCTCATTAACCACTACACTATGGTAAATGCACTAATATATATATATATATATATATATATATATATATATATATATATATATATTCAATATGTAGGATTATATACATTTTGATACAAAGCCACATTCATAGATCATGAATCTGGGAAGAAAATCTTAGTTAATCTCGGCAGTGTTCTAGCTGAATTGTTTTTTAAGTTAATGTACAATAAAAACAATTCTCTTTAAACTCTATGAACTGTTATTTGGTGCAATCTCTTGTTTTGATATTTTCCTTTAATACATAATGGTTTCCTATAAAGGCATGCTAATTTAGTGACTATATCAAATGGTTACTCAAAATAGATCCCTAAGGTGATAATCTTATACAAATTGCCTACTTTGGGCAACACCCACTCTCTGCCAACGATAGTTTTTATTGATGCTCCTATTTTACTACTTCTAAATATGACATTTTGTTTGCTTGCCATAAATGCTATAATTAATAACTATGAACATAAGTAATGGGTGTGAAAGTTCTCTACTGACTGTCATCTTATGTGTGTGTATATATATATATATATATATATATATATATATATATATATATATATATATACACACACACACATTTATTTTCCTGTTTTTTTTCTGTACATGTGAATATGTATGGTTAATCTTCTGAAAAGAATACTTATGGTGCTTAAAGAATTATCTCTGCTTACTATCCAGATTAACATCTCCATTGTTAAATCCACCATGAAAACTATATTTTATTTACAAATATAACTTCATGTATTTTTTTTTTGTGCTGTTAAATTCATGAGATGATAGTATGAATATAGAACATAAATATTGAAATAATCCATGTGTTAAAAAATGTTTAATGTATATGAAAAGTGCATATGTCATAAGCATAAGCTTTTCTTCTCTTTCAGTTTAAGTTCAGTTAAATTTTATTTTTATTTCACACACTCACACAGTGAATACAGATACTGTTTTATGTGACTTTACACTGAAATCAAAATTCTTTGTGCAGATTTCTTTTATTTTATGAAAATATTTTCATGTTTAATTTTATGACAGATACTATTTTTTTTTTTAAATCTGTCCTCATGGCTCTCCACAGCTTCTTTAATATCTAAATTGCCATAACCTTTGGAGAAAGATAGTGGAGTGGTTTCCTGTTACCTTTTCACAGTTCTGAAATCAAAGTTATTCTTTTAGACTTGTTACTTGTTGCAGTCTACTGTTCTTGTAGTGATACTAGCAAATTAGTATGCATAATTTGCATAGGTATAAGTGAACACTCTTATAAATGGTCACTGAGAATAACCACTAGCAGTTAGTCTAGCAACTGATTAGTGCTAACTTCTACTTCACAACAATGGCGTCGCCGATAGGATACTAATTATCTCTGGAAGATCCAGAATTCATGGATACTTGGATTCGTTGTTTCGCTGCCTCTGCGAGAACAAAAAAGTTGAAAGACAACAAGGAAAAGGGAGACGAAAATGAAATCACGGATTTATTTTTGGCTACAGCTGAATCTTGAGCAGTAATGAAAGTCTCCACCATGGCATATCCTTAAATTTGGAAGACCTGACTTTCAAAAAATAAGTCAGATTATAAGAAGAAATATGAGACCCAAGAAAAGACTGGTAGTGGCAGAAAGAACGAAATTCATGTCGATGAAACAAGAAATTGACGAACCAATTATAAAATTTTTACACTGTCTACGAAATGCAAGTAGATATTGTGAATTTGAAAAACTTGGACAAGACGAACAGACTATTGAAGAGGACTTGATTCAATTAAGACTAATTGAAGGTATGTCCAATGCGTCACACCGATATAAAATAATGGAAAAATTACAAATAAGAAATATGTCTGTAAATACATGTATTGACTTTCTGCAGCAACAAGAATTAATACAGAAATACCACCATCACAAAAGTCAACCCAGCAAACAAAATTTCACTGATACGTACATGTTAAAGAAGATAAAAAACTGTTCGTATTGTGGACGTGAACACAAAAGGAAAAGTGTCCAGCATTTGGGAAAACCTGTAATAATTGCTTAAAAAAGAACCACTTTCAAGCAGTGTGTAAATTAAAAAAGAAAAATATTGAAAGAATTCAAGAAAACGACACCGATAAGGAAGTTTTTGCATTGAAAAATAAGACTTTGGAACATAAGAAAAAAGACATAGTAAAGGTCAAAATTAATAAGCAGAAAGAATGGTTCAGACCATAAAGAAGGGGCTAAAAGCATGCTCTCAGCAAAAAGAAAAAGAAGTTTTTCTACTGAGGCTGCTTTTAAGTTATCGGACGATACCACATACAGGAAGACTCGAAAGCCCATCAGCTTTAATGGGAAGACAGATTAGAGCTCCGCTAACAATGTCATATTCTACAAATGAAAAGATGTGGTACAAAAAGAGCAAGGATGCGGATCTGGAAGGAGCCGAGTTTATAATGCAAAAAGGCCATAATACAGCCATAATAAATAGAGAGAATGGCAATAGTGTGTTGGCCCATGCTGACCAAATAAGGACCCAGGGTGAAGAGGAAGAGTGAAATGACGAAGAAATGTCTTCAATTCCATCTGATAATGAGTTGGGAGAACAACCATTACAGAAGGAAATGTTGGAAGAGGAAACAATGCAGGAGGAAGAGGGTCAGAACGAGTCTGAAGGTTCGGACGAAGACCAGATTATGCAAGAAAACACATATGACTAAAGCCTAGCCCGAGACAGATTGAGGTCTCCCAGGGAAAGAAATACAGGAGAGAGAGAAATAGAGCAGAGTGATGAAAATAGCAGGAAAAGGAGTACAAGATCTACGAGAGGAATAAAGCCCTTAAGGTTCAGAGAGATGTAGTGATACTAGCAAATTAGTATGCATAATTTGCATAGGTATAAGTGAACACTCTTATAAGTGGTCACTGAGAATAACCACCAGTGGTACGAGTCTAGCGACTGATTAATGCTAAACTCTACTTCACAAAAGTTCTATTTATCCATAGCTAAGGGGAGAAGCGATGAAGTCATGCCTTTCCTAATGGCATCAGCACAGTTAGAATAGGTATTTATAAACCTTACCTTGTTCTGTGATAAGAACAATAGTTGTGCACAAAGCAAAGATCAAAATCATAATCATTGGCCTGCAAAACTAATTTTCTAACCATCACTCTATGGCAAATAGCTATCATCTCAGTTACAAGACCTACTTTTCACAATTTGTTTTGTTTTTAGATTTAAGCAAACAATCTCATTCATTTAACCAATATGCTTATTTCTTTTGCTTTACAGATATCTTATCTGTTTTGATGCTTTTGTTTTTCTCTGGCAGTTTTCAAGCTGCATTGCTAAAAGGTTGACAAAAATGCATGATTGTTATGATGTTTGATAAAGAGCATATTCAATCTCTAATGTTTATTTTTCTTTCTTTCTTTCTTTTTAGCCTTGTTTCAATTTAATTCATGTCTTTTAATCCAAACATTAACTAAGTTAATACTTTATAGATAAATCCTTGTCTGTATCTTCTCTTCCTTCTCAACTGTTTTCAATCCTTGTCTGTATCTTCTCTTCCTTCTCAACTGTTTTCAATCCTTGTCTGTATCTTCTCTTCCTTCTCAACTGTTTTCAATCCTTGTCTGTATCTTCTCTTCCTTCTCAACTGTTTTCAATCCTTGTCTGTATCTTCTCTTCCTTCTCAACTGTTTTCAATCCTTGTCTGTATCTTCTCTTCCTTCTCAACTGTTTTCAATCCTTGTCTGTATCTTCTCTTCCTTCTCAACTGTTTTCAATCCTTGTCTGTATCTTCTCTTCCTTCTCAACTGTTTTTCAATCCTTGTCTGTATCTTCTCTTCCTTCTCAACTGTTTTCAATCCTTGTCTGTATCTTCTCTTCCTTCTCAACTGTTTTCAATCCTTGTCTGTATCTTCTCTTCCTTCTCAACTGTTTTCAATCCTTGTCTGTATCTTCTCTTCCTTCTCAACTGTTTTTCAATCCTTGTCTGTATCTTCTCTTCCTTCTCAACTGTTTTCAATCCTTGTCTGTATCTTCTCTTCCTTCTCAACTGTTTTCAATCCTTGTCTGTATCTTCTTCCTTCAACTGTTTTCAATCCTTGTCTGTATCTTCTCTTCCTTCTCAACTGTTTTCAATCCTTGTCTGTATCTTCTCTTCCTTCTCAACTGTTTTCAATCCTTGTCTGTATCTTCTCTTCCTTCTCAACTGTTTTCAATCCTTGTCTGTATCTTCTCTTCCTTCTCAACTGTTTTCAATCCTTGTCTGTATCTTCTCTTCCTTCTCAACTGTTTTCAATCCTTGTCTGTATCTTCTCTTCCTTCTCAACTGTTTTCAATCCTTGTCTGTATCTTCTCTTCCTTCTCAACTGTTTTCAATCCTTGTCTGTATCTTCTCTTCCTTCTCAACTGTTTTCAATCCTTGTCTGTATCTTCTCTTCCTTCTCAACTGTTTTCAATCCTTGTCTGTATCTTCTCTTCCTTCTCAACTGTTTTCAATCCTTGTCTGTATCTTCTCTTCCTTCTCAACTGTTTTCAATCCTTGTCTGTATCTTCTCTTCCTTCTCAACTGTTTTCAATCCTTGTCTGTATCTTCTCTTACTTGTATATTTTCTCAACTGTTTTCAAAACTAATAAGTCATTAAAATCCTTAAAGTTGAACAGAAAATAAAGGTAACTTCAAAAGTAAATTTGAAGTTTTAAAAAAAAAAAAAAAATAGTGTTAAATATTTTCCATTCTTGCTTTACTTATTGGACTTTTCTGTGTTTTTTATAAAAACAATGAGTCTTAAAATCCAAATAGTTTTTCCTTTTGAATACTCTTCTGTACACTACTGAATAAACCAGGGTTAGTATTTCTTTTTACTTTGTCATTTTCTTATTTTTCTTTTAGATTTTGTGAGATTCTTTGATTACTGACTCCAATAAGCAGTGAAAATTTAGTTTAGGTTCTGATAGTAGTAGTTGTAGTAAAGTGTTAAAAAAAATAAGTTACTACAAAATATCAATAAGGTGAAAAGAAATATAAAGTAAACATCTTAAAAACTCAAATGAACATTTTCAGTGTATAATATTAGCGCCCAAACTGGATATTGAAAATTAAACAATATCTGAATTTAAACAAAATTGCATCTGATATTGTTACAGTTGACTGCTTGATTCTTTATATTTGGTTATATTTTTCCAATTTAATTAAATTATTGTCTGCAGAATTCCAAGCTAGAGATCAGGTTAGCTGACTATATGATAATCAAAATGGCAAAGGACTTGAAATCGGTGTTTTAAGATTGGTTGAATGATTAAATTTTTAAATTCCTATTTCAGTCTTTACAGGTATTGTGCAAGATTTGAAGATCTATATTCTCAATGAGAAAATAATTAAATATTTTATTCTTTATAAGAATATTTACTTTTTTTTTTTTTTTTTTTTACAATAAAAGAATTGGTTATAACTGCTTTAAAAAAATAGAGAAAATTTTCCTTTTATGTCATTCTTTCCAAATCTTTTTGTATAAATAGTGTGAATTCCCTACCCTAATAATTTCTAAAAAAAAAAACTGTAAAATGACACTTGTAGTAGTTCATGGCCGTTTTTATCTTTGGGCATTAATTGGTTGTTTTAAGTTGACATTTGGATGTAATTTTGATGTCCAGTTTTTATATAACAGGTTCCTATGAATATATTTTTACAAAGGGTGAATGGAAATGGACATATAATGCACACTATCTTGCCACAAAACTCACAGGCTTCTTGCTGTCATGCATATTCAGTTGGAAATAATTTTGATAAATTTGAACTTCCATATCTATGTCACCTCCAAACTACCATGAAAAACTTGTCTATTCCAACCACAGCTTGTTTTTGGTGATTGGTGCTGCCATAATGCAACAAAACATGAACATATGACATTAATTTTGTTCCATTTACCACTGCAAATTTACAGTAGTGGGGGTGTCAGCTCTTGCAAATATCTGAAAAAGGGCACTATTAAAGAGAAGGTTAAGAATCACTGATCTAAAATTAGCAATTTCCAACAGTTTCAGACAGACTTCTATATTAAGTAACAATATTTTAAATGGTTGAATAGAATGTGCATCATCTTTAACCAAACTAAAATGCAAGATTGTTTAGTAAAATATAGCATTCTATTAACTCAATTTCTTCATTTCTTCCTCCCCTAAGAACTGCCATTGCTGTCAGGGCAGTCTTTTTACCACAAACACAGTAATGCCACTGTAAGGTCTTTACTGATAACTACTGATTCAGGTTTAAGTAAGTTAAGCAAATGGGTCATTATGTAGGAGGATCTCTTAGACACTGATGACCAACTTCCATATTTAGAAATGGAAACTTTTTTTTTTTTTATTTTTTACACTTCTTTCTTTTAGAGAATAATTTTAAGAAAGTATAGATAATGTAGTTCTGATGCTTAGTCCTTTCTGGAATTTATGGCAAAAAGTACAACTTTTCATTCTGCATCTTTTAAGGCATTCATTTGTAGACAAAATGTCAAGAATCAACAAAGTCTGACTTGCAACTGAACAATGCAAGGTTTCAATCTAGAACACACTAGAAATTGGCACCAAAACAAACACCAGTGTCAAGTTGGGCTCATTTTTTTTATACAAATGAAAATCAGGCACAAACTTTTGCAATGATATGAAGCACATTTCCATACCCCATTAATGTATTGAAATGTATAAACAATCAAAAATAGGACACCATAGAACTTTAATCATTTTTACTGTGTTCAATATATATATATTAATAGTTATTTTTTCACTTAAGGCTTACCAACTACAAGGTGTGATGAGTAAATTGTCACCATTTTATATTTTTAATTTCATGCATGCATGTTGTTTGTTTTTGATTTTGTTGACTGCCCAGTATTGTAGGGACGGTTGGGCACTTTTTGTGAGAAAAAGAGCACCATGATGCAATTCACTCGGCCAGAAATTTGGAAACAGCATATTATGCTGCTTGGCATTTATGCCAGAAGCTCCAATATGAACATTTCAGTGTGTTTGGGTGTCAATCTGAGGACAGTGCAGAAGATTCAGAAAAAGTTGGATGTGTCTAATGGTGATTAGGAATGCTTTTAGAGTGATCACTAGTGATGGCAGCATTATGCTGTCATTCATCTTCCCATGGGACTTCAGACTCAATATGGAGGCTTACACCAAGTTTTTTGAGGAGGTAGTGCTTCCCTAGGTCAAGAGGGTGACAGCTTGAAGACTCTGTCTGACAACAGGACTCTGCACCATGCCACAAAAGCTGGGGGACCTGGTCATGGCTGTCGGACAATTTCTGTGATTACATCACCTCTCTGACCCTCTTTATTATGTGCGGGGGCATAGCTGACTGAGAGACCAAAAAAACTCCTTGTAGCACCAAAGATGAACTGAAGGCAAGGATTATGGCAGCATTCACCAACTTAAACAAGGAAACTGTCCAGAAGAGTTGTAGGAGATTCTGAAGTTGTCTGGAGGTCGTGGTTGAAACCAATGGTGATTTTATTGAATAAATTTACTTTTTATTGTTTCAAGATATTTTATGTAATTTTGGTAAAATATATCGGTTAAAATGAGATATCAGTTATTATTTACATTTTTGCATAATTTAGAAGACAATTTATCCATCGCACCCTGTATCTATTAATAACTTTGAAATAGAAAATTTATTGATGGCATTCAATGACTATGTAACTCAATAATATTCATGTCAGCTTTTTTTTCTTGCTTTAACAACAATCTGTTTTTCAAATATTCTGAAATTATCTGCAAGAAAGATGTGCTGTAAGTGAACCTCTGTGATTATATTTAAAATAATTGTCTTTTTTTTTTTTTTTTTTTTTTTTTTTTTTCAGATAATCAACAGATTTTAATTAAACTATATATTCATTAAGAAAAACCTTTATTAAATCAATTACAATCACTTACAAAGATTTTTACCAAGCTGGAATAAAAATATTAATTAAAAATTAAAATGTGCAAGAGTAAATGAACCTTTACATTTACACTGTATTTTTGTTTTACATGGTTGCCAATCTAAATAATTTTTTGTGCACATGTAAAAATAAAAATGACATGTGTTCATTTTTTTTTTTTTTTTTTTGGTAAGCTTTGTATATTGCAGTCAAACAATATAACTTATTGTGTATGAAAAAGTGTGCAGTTAGACTAAATTTAAAAATATATGTAAAGATCAAAAGAACTTCCTGAAACTTTAAAAAAATTGTATAGTTGAAACCTATAATGATGGAGAAGGCTACAAAAACCTATCAAAACAATTTGGAGTACACTTCTCCACTGGGCAATAAATTATTTATAAACGGAAGTGATGTAATGGAATAACCTGTCACCCCCATGAGTGACTACACTATAGGTAGTAACTACCTATAAGTATCTGTAAGTCAACAGACTACAGAGTCTAGCTTGGATCTGTTGAGTACGACTCAGACTTATGCGACCTTCCAATAGTAGCACTCACTACTGGATTGACTTGCGACGACCTTGTGCATAACTTTTATCTTTATTCTTATTGTACTGGTTATTAAAACCTTTACTTATTTTATCCACCTTGTTTTTCAAATATATATTCCTATTAGCACAGAATATAACAGGATGGCCTTTGATATGATGTCATCACAATCAAGAAGTGCTCGTCCACGAAAAATAACAGCAAGTGCAAGTAGACATCTAGTTCGACATCCCAGGCAAATCCTGCTGTGACCTTTGTGGTTCTCCAATGCTCACTGGTCAATATCAGGAGCAATGTACATACATCTACAGTGCAAAGAAATATGAACCATGCCAAGCACAACACAAACATGCTCACCTCAACTATGCCAAAGCTCATATTAATAAGTTAGGAACATTCTGGCAAAAGGTTTTATGGTCAGATGAGACCAAACTAGAGCTTTTTGGGTGGAACAATAGGTGGTATACCTGGCTAGCTCTTAATACGGCTTTTGAAGAGAAGAGTTTGATACTAACCATTAAACATGGAAGTGACAGCATTATGATTTGGGGGTGCTTTGCTGCAGCTGGAATAGGCAAAATAGTACACATTGATGGCACAATAGACTCTGCAAGATACCAAGCAATTTTGAACAAGTGTCTTGTCCTCAGCTCAAATGCTGGGTTTACATCAGGGCTGGAACTTCCAGTAGAACCATTATCTGAAGCATCAAAGCAAATCCACAAAAGAATGTGTTTGTAAAAAGAAATTTCAAGTCTTGGAATGGCCTAGTTAAAGTCCTGATCTAAACCCAATTGAAAATCTGTGATTTAAATGAAAGAAGGCAGTGCATACAATGCAAGAATCCCAGATAATATTGAGCAATTGTGGGAGTTTTGTCAAGAATTGTGGTAAAAAATCAGCACTCACTACTGCCAGAAACTTCTTAAAAATGATAGAAAAAGACTGGTTGAAATTGTAACCTCAAAAGGAGCAGTGAACAAATATTAAATGTAAAGGTTCCCTTACTTTTGATCATCTTAATTTTTAATTTTGAAGTTATATTTTTATTCCAGCTTGATAAAATTTTTTGAAAATGGTTGTAATTGATTTCATAAAGGTTTTTCTTAATGAATATATAGCTTAAGATTTGTTGATCATCTAGAAAAAAAAAGAGACAATTTTTTAAAAAATATTATCTTAGAGGTTCACTTTTGCTCAGCACTGTATATGTAGTGTGTGAGACAGAAATAGAAATGTATTTTTTGTTTTAATGCTTACACTTACATATAAGTTAACAAATCTCTAACACTAATTTCTTGGGATAAGTAATATTACATATATAGTGTTTTTCTGTCTCTTACAAATATTTAAAAATATATATTTCTGTGGATTTCAAATTATCATTTTTTTACAACTAATTACTGAAGATTAATCTTTGTACAATGTAGTTTTTGTAATGCATTTGATTAAACCAACACGTAGGATTGAACCTCGGACCTGAGGTTTACTAAACACTGAAATCTGCTTTCGTTCAAAAACAATCATTAATAAAAAATTTAGAAATAAATTTTTATTTTGTCCATTTTAATAAAGGAATTTTTAAATATTTATTTCAGTTGAATCAAACCTAATTTAAAATGTCACTATTGAAGTGTACCCTTCATATGTGCTTATCTGTTTGGAAGCTGAAAGACAAAAAAGATGTAAAGGTCAATGATTGCCAGAAAACTAGAAAATGAGAAACAAAACAATTCTAATTATGACCCTTAGACTTTGTATAAACTGATACGAATTATATAATCTGAAACTATATCCAAAATGAAGAATATAATACACTTTTTTAATTGAATATATTTTTAACAATACAGTCTCAATTAATTTGTAAGGTAGATAACCATTACCAAAGTGTTTCAAACTTATTTCCAATAAGAGTGAATGCATTCAAAGAACTCGTTCATACATAGGTATTTATATTTTTTTTAAGTACACACAAATGTATCACCATGTTATTGATGTATGGTGTGGGGTTACTCTCATCATACCAGCAGGGTTAGTCACATGTTCACAGGAATAAACACAAACACAGAAATAAGACTAAAATTTAAAATGTTAAATTAAAATCATACAATTTTATTTATTTTGGGTACTGGTATGTGTAGTTTAGTTATGTGTGTTTAAAGGTTGCATGTGATAGAGGAAGAAAGTCACTTTGTCGTATGACAAGCAATGTGTAAAGGAGAGGAGGTGGATGTCTTGACCTTTTGAGGGTCAGTAGTGAAGAAAGTGAGGTTGGTGTTTTTTTTTTGGGGGGTTGTGCAAAGTATCTTTTTTCAGGCAGGAAAAGTTTTCTGTTGCATTCTAGGATAACTTTTATTTAGGTTTTATTTTTTATTTAAACAAAATTTTAATCTTATTTGTTTTATTTTATTTTATTTTTTATATTATTATTATTTTATATTTTTATTTATTAATAATAATAATGTCCCTACAATGGTCCAGCTCTTTCAGCTTGCTGGAATGTAAATATTAAACATTAATTCCTTTGATGAAGGTAAACTGCCTACTGCTTTCCTCATCAACGTTATAAACATATTATGCTTCGAGAAAGTATGATAGTAATTTGCATACAAATAAGCAAAATAAGTTTTCTCACAATATTCAACTTATACTGCTAATGATATCAAATATACAATTATATGAAAATATTATCTTAAACCTTTCAATACTGCATTATCCACCAACCTGATAACTCCTAAAATCATATCAGAGAGTAAAATATAATGTTCTACAGTAGTATCTTCTATGTGCTGTTTACCTTCAAGATGTGGGTGCTCATGGCTCTCCACAACTTCTTTGTAGTCCTTGGCAATGTTTTTTTTTATTTTATAGCTATCCCTCCAGCTCTCTGCACTGACATCCATTTACACAAACTTGTTATGTAGGTTACTTGCTGTTTTCTGTTCCTCTTGCTTCCACTATATCTTGTAAGTGTAAGCATCAAATTCTCCAAGTCTTCTTTCCTCATTATGTGTCCCCAAAATTCTATAAGTCAAAATATCCTCCTTAAAAATGTTTTCCTTAAAATTTTCTTGTTGCTCACATGCACTGTCCATTTTATTCTCAGCATCCTTCTGTAGGATCATATCTGTATTGCCATAAGTCTCTTCTTCATCTGTGAAGAAATTGTCCAGCATTCACTGCCATATAATTCATTTAAAATTTGTTCAGGCTTTCATATGTTTATGTTGTTATGGCTGTAATGCCTACTTTCAGAATAAACAAGTGAGACCATTATAGAAAATTTATAAAGAATTGACTGTTACTCATAGAAAAACTGAAAATGGTGTTATCAGCAATTGTAATGTGATACATAGAAAAAGGAATAGTCATGCAAGATTTGATCACTAAACAAAATGTTTACTGGAATGTTGCTGAATAGGGTAAACTGCTGACACCTATTAATTATAATCATACTTATATTTTTTTCTTTTTAAGCCTTTGAACCCAGACCCCCTGATGAGTACAGATCTCCAATCTTGGGCCTCTGCTGTCCATGACTCTGGTCAGCAGGGCCAGTTCAAGGATATTGTGCCCACATCCTGAATCTATGATATAGTGTTGTGCACGTAGTATTCATATAAAATATAAATTTTATTGTAAGCTAATTATGTACAATAATGGATCATAGTCAATATAAGTGAATAATTCAACTAGAAAAATTGAAAATAAATACAATGTATGTAAATACAAATTAGAGATGTCATAAGAGATCATTAAATAAGTCAGCAATGTTTTGTGGCAAGTTTTAACATCAGCTTGAAATTTTTCTTCTTTTAACACATTCAACATTATGGTTAAAGAATAGTGAATTTTATGTAGGTTTTTTTTTTTTTTTTTTTTTTTTAAGACTTAGCATGAGCAAAACAAATTCCTGGGTTTGGATGAAAAAAATTAAAAACCCCAGAATGGCATCAAAATCCAAAGATTTTTCATCTTTTTAATAGTCAATTGTGTTTAGTTTAATTTGTAATGTATATAAATGTAGGTAGAAAAAAGTAAATGTTGATAAGATCACAAAGCACAACAGGACCTCCAATCAGGCTTGGATCCCCCCAGACAAGGGTTTCAGAGGTAGTATGCCCCAGCCCTGCTGGTTAGTATACCGACTATCCAGCTATGTGCACTTTCACATAGCAGTTGGTATATTGGCTGCTTGAGTTCAAAGTTTATAGATTTTTTAATCTGACATTATTTTTTATTACAATAAATTAAGGTTCACTTCCTGTTGTGATGCTAATTTTTCTTTAGAAATTTTCAATCTAGACTGGTTGCCATTAATTTTATTGTTTAAAAATAACAGAAGTGTCAGTGTCAACTCAAACATGTGTACTGACTAAAAATAATGTTTATAGTAATATAATAATAAAGATAAAAGGGAAAAATTAGCTGATGCAAAGATTTTATTTTGTAACAAGTAATTATATGCAAGAGCAAAAATAGTTTTTTTTTTTTTTTTTTTAATTTAAGAATGCTCATAAATATTTATCAAGTTAGCTAAAAAGCCAGGCAAGCTATGGAGGACACAGTGACAAAATTCAATGTCTAATAAACGAAAGTGAGTAAATTTTGAAATTATTTTTTTTTCTTTTAATGCAAATTAGTTTGGGATTAACATAAGGTTATGAATTTAACCATTTATATCAACATTTCCCAACCTGAGGCACACACCCCACTGATGGGGCATGGTAATATTTTGCTGGGGCATGCGTAGGATGTGCACCCTTCAGCTTACTATACCAACAGAATAAGGTGGCAATTTGGGAATGAGTTATTAGCAGTGAATTGTTTTCTAGTGAGTCTGAATGAAAATGTTAATGTGTGTTAATACATACAATGTATATACAGTATGCATACATAAAAATTCAACCACTGTTGCAAGAAATTTGTTGTTACCATTTCCATCTTCATATTTAGCTGAACATGGCTTTAGTGCTGTAAATGATTTGTTATTGAAATGAAATCAACTGGATATCACTAAACAAGAAGGCTTGAGGCTTAAACTGATTAAATTGGTGCCTAATATAAAATCTCTCTGTAGCAGGCATGACACACAAGGATCTCACTAACAATCATTTTGTGATGAGATCAAATTTCATTTTGCATTATTATTTTATAATTAAAATGATCAAAGTATATTACAGAATAACCTTTCATTCAAATATTTTATATTTCTGCCTTTCAGTTCTCTATTATGTTTTAAAACTATATATATTTAACTGTCTTTTTGTTTTTTTAATTTTTCTCTTTCATGGATGCCATGTTTGAGAGGCTTGTTTAGAGACCAAGTTAATGAACTTCACATGAATTGCAGTAAAATTTTGAATATGTAAGAATTAAATATTACAGGGGGGTACCAGAATTTTAGAAATACCAGTTGGGCATAGCCCAAAAATCAGTTGGGAACCACTGGTGTGTGTATATATACACACACACACACCGGGTGTAACAGTAAAATTGTCCAAATAGTGTAACAGTATGCGATAATTGTCCATCCTATCTACAAAATTTTTAATATCTAAAACCCACTAAACTGAGTTTCTTTCTTCCATGTTTTCAGATGTTTAGCCATCTTGATGCCATTTGTCATAAGAATTACTGAAAAGCCCTTTGAGTTATTCAGCTAGAAAGAGAACAGGTTAAAATTGTTTTGTGTCAAACTCACTGTCTTCTCAAATGAGCAATAGTGAGAGGAAAAAATCCTTCAGGCCTTCAGTAATGATACCAACATTCATACTCTGGCTTCCATCTTCAAACTCCATTCAAGAACCATCAAGAGAATGGTGAATAAGTTTAAAAAAAGAGGGAACATTAGAGAAGAAAACTGGATCTGGAGATCACAACAGGAAGAGGGATCACTTCAACTTAGAGCTAAAGAGACCAATTAGAAAAGATCCAACTCGATCCTTAAGACATTTGGCATGTGAGAAAGGAGTTTCAGCTATGACAGTCCAAAAAGCAGTGAAAAAAACTTGAAAATGAAATCATACATGAAACGTGTGAGGCACCTTGTTACTTCAGGACAGAAAATTAGAAGGTTAGAGATGGTGAACATCATCTTGAATAAGTTGGAAAATAATCCAGGAATAATCTATCTATCTATCTATCTATCTATCTATCTATTTGAACTTTATTTAAATTCTTCAAGAGCTTCCGATCCTTATCTGTGATTAATTAATAATGAACATTTATGGTCAATTTCATCACAATTCTTCTGTTAAGCTTGGAGAGTAATTTTACATTCTTATTGCTCAAAGTAGAGTCCAATAGTGTTGTAAAAACCTTGAGGAATTCCTGTAAGATATCTTTAATCATTTCTAAGATACAATGGTTCAAAACTTAATCTAACAATTGAACAATTTTGCTGTTATATCCATTAATTAATGATGAACATTTATGATCAATTTCATCACGATTCTAAGATTGGAGAGTAATTATTCTTATTGCTCAAATACTCTGTGTGTGTGTGTGTACAGAGAGAAAGATGTATTTTATATCTATATTGTGAGAGAGATGTATTTTATATCTATATTGTGGTTTAAAAGGTTACATGACTTTTCTGTGTGCAGTACTCTTTTAAGTTGTCCTTAATGTAAATTTTGTACACTCTTTGAACCTAAAAACATTTTTAATCATTTACCATTTACTTGCTCTGTATCTATAGATAGATTTAAGAAACCTAACTAGTCGCCCATTCAGATATGCATTGTTACTAGTTAAACTAAATGAATGAATAAAAGAGTATAAGATCAGAGGAAAAAAGTGATTTACTACTTGTCTCTGCTGGTAAATCCCTAGATTTTTAGGAAGGAAGTGTCCTTTCCTCTTTTTTTTTTTTTTTTTTTTTTTAAGATTAATTAAGTTGTTCTGAAGTGGGCTATTATGGAAAGGAAGGATGTGGGTTGGTTTTCACTTGTTGGCTGAATGATCATATTCAGGGTCATTTTAAAAAAACTACCAATGAAATTGGGGAATGAATCTTCATTGTTATTGTTTCGATTATGTTTAATTCTTTGAAGAATTTTAATTCATTTTATTGGCTTCAGTAATTTTCTGGAAACAATTCAAAGGTAGAAATTGGATTAATAAATGTACGTATGCATATGTGTGTGTGCATGTAGTTATTTCAGATTAGTATTTGAGAAAAAGATTTCTTTTTCTGAAGGCATTTACATTCATAAATAGATTTGTATTGGCAATCACAGTTCAATGCAGCAGCCTCACTAGGATAATTAGGTAAACAATGCTAAACACAATGTACAAATTTGTAACACAGGATATTCATGCAACATCCTACTTTTTTAGTGAGTTTGTTAAATTATTTTTAGTCTCTGTTTCTAAACATAATCTGCTGTTGGCCAAGATAGAAAAAAAACCCAGTAATACCATTAATGAAGGGGGAGCAGGGTGTGTTTTTTTTTGTGTGTATATGGAGGATTGTTGTTAGCATCAATGTTTTTCATGCATGCATATTTATAGGCAGGTATGAATTTAAATATTTCACAAGAGAAATAATGAACTACATTATTATCTTTCTTTGTTCTTCTTCAGAAAATGTTGGTCTTGCTAAAGCAACCAGATATCCAAGAAGGTGCTGAAATGGTTTTGGCTCAATCCTCTTCCCAAAATCAATATTTCAATGACCAAACATCAGAATACTGTTTATAGGGAAGTAGGTTTGACTGAGAGCCTTTCTGCATCCCCTTATATAAAATTAATAAATTATGGCTTGATTTGAACATCTAACCATTGTGTTGTGTAAAGTTCTCCCAAGTATGCAGTGTAGTCAATGTAAGATAACTTCACTCATGAGAGTAGAAACCTTACTGATATACCATCTTATTTGCATATCACCACACTAAACTTGCAGCTATGCAGACAGTTGACATATTCACTATGCCAGCATTCTGCAATTTGAAAAGCATAAGCATAGTAAAATCAACTTGCAAATATTAAGTTTGGCACATACATACATACACACACACACACACACATATATATATATATATATATATATATATATATATATATATATATAAAATTATTTGTAAATAATGGATCAATTTTGAATAATTTTTATCCATTTCTCAGAATCTAATACCCATATGATGCCAGGTTCTTTATATGTTAATAAGCACAAAAAAAAGGAATATAAGACTTAATTTTCAGAATAATAGGTTAAATACAACACATTTGACAGGCAAATTATGCAAAATAGACAAAATTATTTGTACAATTTTCACAATATTAATAGTCAATAGGATGACCTCTCATCTTCATAACTTGCTGCAATTATTTTCTAAATTTTTTTTCTGAGATTTGAATAAGTCTTTTCTGGGATTTTATTCCATTCTTCAATGGTTATACATTATAATTCCTGAAGGTTTTATGGTGACAATGATTCAATTGAACTTTCAATTCTTGCCATAGATTTTCAATAGGATTCAAGTCAGAATCCATTGAAAGTCATGGCACAACTGTAATCATTTTCTGAAGCCACACTGATTTAGATGTATGTTTGGGATCATTATCTTGCTGGAAAGTAAATCACTGACCTAGATAAAAAGTTTGCACTGATAGTTGTAGATTTTGATCCAGAATTTTGATATAGTCTGCAGATTTTATTATTCCTCTTATTGCTCAATCCCACTTGAGCTAAAACAACCCCAGAATATAATCAAGCCACCTTTGTTTTAATGTGGCCAGTGTGTTTTTTGGGAGGACATCATTATGTCCAAAAAGCTCAATTTTTGTTTCATCAATCCATAGTACATGTTCCCAAAAGCAATTTTCTTTGTCCAAGAATGTTTTGGCAAAATTAAACTGAGCAACAATGTGACATGGTTTGTGAAGTGGGGTTTGTCATAGTTGGTTTCCATACAACCCATTTCTATTTAAACAACATTGTATTGTACACTATTTACATTATTCGGACTATTGTCCTCATCTTTGTCACCATATTTATTACAACGTTTTGGTTGTTGTATGCTCCGGCCTTCTTCAGGTAGTTAGAATGTCGAACAGAACCCTTTATTTCACTCACTGTGGTAGACTGTTCTAGTTCCACGTGGCTTGTTTTAATGGATGTCAGTTATCGGATATCTCCTGTTAATTCCCCTCTTCAAGTTCTCCACTGCCTCAATACCCGGTTAAGGAGAGAACAAATAGTCCAAATAATGTAAATAGTGTACATAATACCTCATCTCAGAAATATAGACAGAAACATTGTATTGTGCGAGTACTTACACTGATACCCATTGTATCCAAACTTTTGACAATGTCTTTCAAAAAAACTCTTGGGTTTATATTAACCTCACGACACAGGTTTTGTGCAGTGACAATTTGGCTTTTCTTCTATGCCCAGGCAAATTCTCTGTCATGTATGAATAATTTTGTTATTGACTGTATATGTAATTAATACAAATATAAAATTTCAGCATACTGACTCTAGCATTTTGTAGGCAGACCCTCCAGCAATCACTTTGTCCACTCTTAAGGGGATGTCAGCAATTGATTGTTTATTTTCTCATTTTTTTCATTTCTATATGCACTTTTCATTGGTACAAGGTTAATTATTTTTTTTATCTCATTGTATGTGTGTGTGTGTGTGTGTGTGTACATGTAGAATGTGGTTATTTATTGTTTTTGTTTTTCCTTGTCTCTTTATACTCTCTCTTTATTGGTTTTACATACTTATATGCATTTAAGTTTTTTTTGTGTATGTACATATATATATATATATATATATATACATACACACCCCAATATGTGTGCATAAGTAATTTTGCTTTGCATGCTTGTTGGCAATGATTGTTCATGTTATGTATAAGCATAGACAGTCACACAAATTGAAGGTATCATTCTCTTATAAATTAATTCTGTGTATTTTTTTTCCACTATTTATATCAGATGGTCAACAACCTACTGTCTTTACACTTCTCTTTCTACAAGATATATCCTTCTGTCTTTTCTCTATCTACATATTGTAGGTTAGTGTGCCTTGCTGGCTCCATTTGCAATTATTTGATTTAAAGAAACTTGATTAATAATGAGTGTATACACAATACAAAAAAAGAAATTAATTTACTAAGCTTTCTGTCTTCATGTGTACATTTTAGTAGTTACTTAATGATATCAGTAATTCTGGTCTGCTGTGAAGGATCTAAATTTCTAGAATCCACATTAAATTATTTTGTCTTAATTTTTATAAAAATATCTTTAAGAATTAGTTCCTTGCATTCATGATTAGTTCTGATTAATTATACAACAGTTTGAAAAATAAAATCTTATTGAATTTGGGTGATTTGGGGGTCAGATATTACTAATATAGAAGTTAAATTAACTTTCTGTATACCAGACATAAGACCAAAAGCTCAGGAACTAACAGGTTGTTTTACAAGAGGTCTTGATAATAAGTTGTCTGTTATCATTTTTTTAAAATCTGATGACATTTCTTTCTACTTTCATGATGATATAGTCTGAATTATTGGTAAATATATAATAATGTTTGCTTTATATATTTTCTTGAGATATTAATGCAGAAATCTGATTTTGAAAATTATTCATGTATACAGCTGTTATCAACTGTATTAATTTTTTTTTTTTTTTTTTTTTTTTAAATCTGAACCTTTGTAATATTAAAAAATTTTGGCTTGATTTATTTTGTTTTACTAGATTTAAGGCAAGGCAAGCATTACTGTAATGTCAACATGCTTAATCACTATAATCAAGTAGCTTACTTGTCTAAAAAAAATAATCTGATGTACTTTTAACAGGTTTTAGTGCAATGTTTTAGATAGGTTAAAAACTTCCTAAACAGTGTTCTAGATGCAGAAGACTTGAAAATTTTTCAGTTCATGGTGGAGGTATGTGTAAATATATTTTTGCAATGTCGACAAATACTTGTCACTTTTGTAATGCTCATTGCAGTAGAGAATTTGTAATTGCAGATACAACTATAGTAACGCCATTGAACAATACTGGTGTCAGATGCCTTTGAATAACACTCGCACTAATAGTACTTGCTCAATAATACTTGCTCGAACAGTAATCCATATAGTGATCAGTGTAGAGAAATAGTATTAGTGAATAGTATTGGGATAGGGGATAGTGAATAGTATAGAGAAT